GAGAGAGAGAGAGAGAGAGAGAGAGAGAGAACGAGAGAGAGAGAGAGAACGAGAGAGAGAGAGAGAGAGAGAGAGAGAGAACGAGAGAGAGAGAGACAGGGCGTCTTCAAATGCGCCATTTCCCTTCGTCTTCATCGTCCTCCTCCTCCCTGTCATCATCTTTGTCCTCCTACCCGTCAACATCTTTGTCCTCCCCTTTCTCCTTCCCGTTGTCCTCTTCCTCCTCCTCCCCGCTGTCCTCTTCCTCCTCCCCGTCATCGTCCTCATCCTCCTCCTCACCTACCACGCAGGCCTTTTTTTTTGCGCTTCGAAGTCAGACCTCAAAGTTCAAACATCATCGTCTTCCTCGTCCTCCTCCCTTGGTATCTTCCTCCCTTCGTCCTCCTCCCTCTCATCGTCTTCGTCCTCCTCCCCGTCAATGTCTTCGTCGTCATCCTCCTCCCGGTCATCCTCTTCCTCCTCCCAGTCATCGTCTTCATCCTCCTCCTCACCTGCCATGTAGGCTTTTCTTTTTTTTTTTCCCCGCTTCGAAGTCGAACTTCAGAGTTCGCACGTCGTCATCTTCCTCATCCTCCTCCCCATTGGCATCTTCTTCCTCCTCTTTCCCATCGTCTCCTTCCCATCGGCATCTTCCTCCTCCTCTTTCCCATCGTCTCCTCCCCATCGGCATCTTCCCTCTCCTCTTTCCCCTCGCCGTCTTCCCCTACTCCTCCTTCCCATCGTCTTCCTCCACCCCCGTGGGCACAAATACGTAGTTATAGGGTATATATATATATATATATGTATAGTCAAACAGAGCTGCCCGGTAGACCGTAGGCAGAGAGGGAGGGAGAAGAGGACAACAAACGAGGGGCTGTGGCAAACTGTTTCGTCGGAGTTTCACCGACTCATCAGGAGGCTGAACCCTCAACAGTCTGCAGAATCCCGTAACTGATTACACTGTAAGTGATAATCCACCTTAACCCCGGCTGTGGTTAAGCATCAACGACTGCCCGACAACTGATACCCTGAGGAAATATATATATATCATCAAATGATCAAACAGATATATTATATTATATTATATTATATTATATTATATTATATTATATTATATTATATTATATTATATTATATTATATATAGTCATATATCGTCACAAACAGAACTGCCCGGTAAACCGTAGGCAGAGAGAGAGAAGAGAACAACAAACGAGGGGCTGTGACAAACTGTTTCGTCGGAGTTTCACCGAATCATCAGGAGGCTGAACCCTCAACAGTCTGCAGAATCCCCTCACTGATTACACTGTAAATGATAATCTACCTTAACCAAAATCAAAGTAGACAATCACTCACCCACACCAGATGGAAAACT